ATTTTGTTATCAGATGGCGGTCGTAATTTGCAGTGGGCTCTCTTACTATAACCAATTAGACATTCCAACCATGGTGTAAGGATACAGGTGAAGCGGTGCGCAGGTTTTATGACGTCAACATCGGTATTGCCACGGCCGCCTATACACTGCCATGCCATTCCATGGCTTTGTTTACATTTTGTAATGATTGTCAAGAAGTTTAACTTTTATTTCCTAGTTCTATAATCATTATAAAACTGAAAATATATTTAGAAGAAAATAACAACTACGTCAAATAACATCAAGTTGTGCTCAATAATACTTACAAGAAAAGTCACTATAGGCAGATAGACGCTTGTACAAAAGTAATGCCAAATAAAAAAAATATTTTGTGCTTTTATACAAAAAAAGTAGGTAATTTATTTCGAATTTAGCCATGGTGTAAGGAATTTAGCCTAATATAGTTTCTCTCTGGCGTAAAAAAGATAGTGTTCATCAGAAACTGAATTTTTCCATCACAAAACTTGGAAGAGGATGTTACATCTAGGATTTAAATCTTCATACCTAGCATTGCTATCTGATAGATTGAGATCAAGATGATAGCCAAAACGTACCTAAACTTACAGAGACATTACCATTAAAAAGTTTTAGTGGCTCAGCAGGGATAAAAATTGGAACTAATAAAAGGCATACACAAATAACTAATTTAAATGTGAAACTGAAATATGTAGTGTCCCCTGTATAGTGGAAAAATGTTTAACCTCTTGCCAATTAATTAATAATAGGAAGTGCTGACTCATTAAATATGTTTAAAAAGCAAGAAACTCTTGCTCAAAAAGGTATACTACAAAGTGGATAAATTTTTCTGATTCCTTGAATTAAGTAGTTCATTTTAATTTATGTGTATACTCCTGTATATATATTTCTCGATTGTCATATTTGTACTTAGGTTGTGCATTTTTGTTTTTATATTATATTTTGTCTTGATATTAGAATTTAAAAAATTTTAAAATAAAAAATTTCATTTATGAATAAGTATTTTGTTTGTGTCTTTTCCTTTGAATTTTAACTTATGTTATCTATCTTTGTTAATAAGAATGTAATTAATTCTTCAACAATAAATAATTTTGAATCGATTCAAGTAAACTTGTGTATAATGTTAACGAATGCTGAACAATAAAATTAAGGTGAAATGAATTTTATTATGATCAGTATATTTTTTTAGTCGCCAATTTTCTTAAATAATCAGTTTGGAAGTATGTGGTCACTTTTATAGATTATAAATGTAATAATTTAATTTTAAATTAGTCATCAAACATGGATATCAATAACTTGTATGCACAGATCAATTACTTTCTTGTATGGTTGGGTGCTGGTAAACCCCTTTATGTATTTAATAAATAGAAACACTTGGCAAAACATACTTTATTTTAATAAAAAGCACAGAGGTGTTATTTTAAATTGATTTATTTATGTTTAAAAATGGTTTATACATAATGTTTACTTCTTTATCTTGCTTAACACTTTATAATGTATATTTATTGTTCTAAATTTAAACATTTAGGCCAGTCTCTTAAGGTAGTAAACCCAGGTAAAGGATAATGAACAGTTCTTAAAATCTATAAGCCTTAGGACGAATGCTTCTTAGGGAGATTGTGGATGCTATGTCATCCGAACTTCAACGAATTCTTTTTTTATTTTCATTGTATAAAACATTTATTTGACCCGGAGTGAAACATTTACTTTACTTTCCTGAATTTCCACTTGAGAATTATTTTTCAACTGGCTAATTTCTTCTTTCAATGAAAGTATTTCTATATTTGATTTGTTGCATTTTTCAGTAATTTTGTTTAGTTCTTCACGAAGACTCTTAATAGTTTTCTCTAAAATAATAATTTAATTTTTAATATTGAAATAAAAGCAATTATCACTTCAAAGTTTAATATTTAATAAAAAAAATTGTTTTGAAATGATTGTAATGTTAATTAGTATATGCTAAGTTGTGTAATTTTCTTTTCAAAGCCATATTTTTTGTTAATAAGGTAAATTTGTACATACGTTTCTAGTTCTGATGATACCAATATATTTTGAGTGTCTGTTTCCAAACTTTGATTCTCCTTGTCCTGGTCTGCAGTTGACAATTGTCTGGAATGCCCCGAAATATTAACAAAGCTCTCAATAAATGTTTGTCGATATCTTTTTGCCTGCCTTCTTAATCTATCTTCACTTTCTGCAGACAATTGTCTTTTTTTCAATGGGAGATTTTCAGTAGGAACTGCTGTTTGGTTTAAGTTTCTACCAGTCTTAGTGGAGTAGTTTAATAGCCTCTGTTGTAAGGGTATTTCAAAACTATCCTTCGAAAAATGTATGGAACAAATACAAGCTTAAAAAAGAAACAAGACATAAAATTAATCATATTCAAGTTAGGTTTGCAAAAATCATACCATTTTTCAAATTAATTGTATCTTTTCACCCTCAACCGTTGACCCAGGCTTTGGCTATATCTGTTTTCGGAACTCCAAAATACTTAATATTTGTTCTTTGTTTTTCTTAAATAGTTCTTGCTGCCAAACACTGCACAACCTGGCATTTTGTTAGTAACTACACAACCTAAAATATAGTAGATTTTAATGTATCAATAATATAATAATAATAATAATAATGATATATTAAAATAACAATAATGAATATAAACTATTTCTTTTATCTTTAAAATACAACAAAAATGTTACATAACCTAACTTTATATCAATTACACTACCAACTTAATTAGAAATTAATTTAATAATACGTACCAATAATTTCTAAACAGGCCTATTGATATATAGAAATGATATTAAATATTAAGATAAATACATCTATAAACTTCTAAACACTACCAGGAAAATATTAGAATAACTTTAAAAGTCGCTTTTTAACATTGAAGACATAGGCAAAACAAAAATATGCTCCGCAGGTGACGTCATGCGCAAGAATGACCAAATTTCGTACCGCTTACCGCTTCACCAGGAGTGCGTTTAGAAACCACGCACGGCGCGTCTGGACCCTATTCTAATGTATGTGGTGAGACGCGCCGTGCGGGGTTTCTAAACGCACTCCTGTATTCTTCCACCATGATTCCAACGACCTGTCAAACAAAATAGCTGCCAGTGAAAGGGTTTGGTATATCTAAGGGGGTAGCGACATAGTTTTGCATCTTGAACGCTTTTTTTATTCGAAATAATAGTCACCAAGTCTGCCAATTTATGAAAGAATGTATAAGCGGTTTCTTATTTTTATTATTATTTTTATTGTGTTTGACATAAAATATTTAAATTTAATCCATTATTCATTACTTTACGTATGTCGCAACCATTGGATATATCAAATTTTTCCACTGGCAGTTCATTTGTTTGGAATGCCTAATACAATATATGACAACCTCCTATATTCAAACAGCAGTCTTCTGCGCATCCTGAATTTGTATCCCTGGAGTGGTTGTTATTTTGGAACATCCAATTGGTCCGAGTGAGCTAACTGATTCGTCAGCTATAAACTGTGACATGGCCTTATGTGACTTTTTTGCGTAGAACAGGATTTTGACGTCTCTGACATCTTAGTAACATTGGCCGCATTCAGCAGAAGCAATCGATTTATGATTTTCTGCTGAATGATATATAAAAGAGCGATAAGTAATCAAATGATGAGTTATCGGCCGCCATTTAAAACATCGAATTTGAAATACGATTAGTTATCACATCGTGATTAGATTTAGAACTCATACCAACTAAAGAGTGTTTTGTGGTGGTGCTTATAACTCATAAGCTTATTTTATGTTTATTTTAATTCATTTTTACACTGGATGTGTCATTTTTCACTGAAATGGAGGATGGAGGACTTTGAAGTGATATATGTTTATAACAATATGAAATATATTGTAGTTGGTAATGAAGTGTTGCACAATGCATTAAAATCAGGCAAATACATTAATTTATAATTATGTAGTTTAGTAATTTATTTGGTGTTTTATTCTAAATTTTGTACCTATGTTTTAGATGATGACTTTTTTCTGAAGTACATGTCACTTTTATGTCGCCTGTCGAAGTGCCTAAAAAGTTCATTCAGGAGATTCACTAATCGATAAGTCATCGCTAAGTTTTCGTTTGATAATCGGTTGCTTCTGCTGAATGCGGCCATTCACTAAAAATTTTATATCGATATTTCAAAACATGACCGAGATATCAAATATTTTGTGATGACATCTGCTGTCATCAAATATAACATTGTTTGGCAGGTCTGTATCAGTGAGTGTTTGTCGTTGCTGCAGTGAATATAGAGTTGTGAGTTGGAATAACTGCAAATATATCGTTTTTACCATGAGTGGTATTCTTGTCAATAGTGTGACTGTATCTAGAAGGAAGAGATGTGTGAACAGTAAAGAGTGAAAAAAAGAGAAAGCAAAAAGTGCGTGTCAGTCGGGAGAAGCGTACAATGATTACAAAGGTGTACAACATGCAGGTAAAAATTTTGTTTATGTCGATAGCTGTTGCAACCAGAATTGCTTTAAAAATGCCAACAGAATTTCACAGGCGGACCTTTTTGAAATATTTTAGAGAAGTGGTGATAAACACATTCAAAATACGACACTCTTTAGTTGCATGGAAAGGCAGCCAGTGAAGACATAGATAACTAATCCCAAAAAAGTGCGGTTGTCTGTCTGGAAATATAACATAAATGTCAATGCACGTACAGTAAACGTATGTAGAGTGTTTCTATTAAAGCTTTATCAAGTCTCAGTCAAACGTCTACGAAATATCCGAACAAAGACTATGGCAAATACTCCCCTAAAGGACATGAGGGGAACTCATACCAATCGGCCACACAAAATTAACGTGGATATCTATGAACTTCTGCAAGAACATCTTCTTTCTATTCCACACAAAAAAGCCACTACTGCTCACATAAAACCAATCTGAACTATTTTAATGAACCTAATTTAAACGTTAAGCTATTACAAAGATACAACAGGAAAACGATTGACCATGAAGTATAAAACATATTTCAAGTATTTCAGCCAACATTGCAATTTTGCTTTTCGATGTCCACGCACTGACGTGTGTGATTACTGCACAAAAATAAACAAAATTCTGGTAGAAAATCCAAATGATGTGAAAAAGTTGGAATATGCCATCCACAAACGGAAATTTGCTCGTCATCAAGAAATAAAGAATTACTTACTCGCAAGGGTTAAAACTGACAACACCTTACTTGTTGTTGAATTTGATTACAGCCAAAACTTTACTGTCCCCAAATTAAATGTAAACCGGCAGTTTTACAAACGACTTCTTTAGATGTACACATTAAACATACATATTCACAACTCTTCGTTTATGTACTCGTTTATTGAAGGATTGTCCAAAAAGGAGCTAACTCGGTATTATCTTCTTTGTTTGACTGTCTAATGAAAACTTTACCAAAATATAGAAACTGTTTACAATTTTTTTTGCTCTCGGACAACTGTGGAGGGCAAAATAAGAACAAAACCATGACTCAGTTCTGTTGTTGGTTTGCAAGGACACATAACGTTACAGTAACACAACTATTTCCTATTCGGGGTCATTCGTTTTCCGTTTGTTATCGAAACTTTGGTTTAATCAGGACCGTCTTAAAGAAAAAAAAACATTTACAGCTAAGCCATATCTCAGCGCCATGGTTAAAGCACGAAAGAAAGACAACCATCCTTTTAAAGTGTTATTGGACCACACACTGCTTCATGACTGGAAAACTGGGCTTTCACCACTACTTAGACGTGTTCCAGCACCGCTTATCAAAGGTGATAAATACACAATTCAGAAGTATGTTTTGCTAAAAGCGTCACCGAATGGAATATTGTCCTATTCATCAACGCATACTGAAGTAAAGACACTTTCAATATTTCAAAAACTCAACTGGAGTAGTGCCTTACCCACTAACTCTACAAAATGTCAGAGCATGCAGGATAAATGCGATGAAAAAGAAAGACGTTGCTGACCTTTTTTGTTTCCTCGACGAGGCAAGTATTTAGTGGATTCAACAAAAAGTATTTGATGAAACAGAGAAAGCTAATGGTGATATACAACAGGATCTAGATGAAGAAGATGAATGGTTCTCCGAGGACGACATGCTCGACAGTAATGCTGTATCTGAGTAACATTTTTATAGGATTAAAGTGCTTGTGTCATAACAATTCGTTGTTTTTTTATAGAATATCATCCCTTACAAAGCCATTGTATTGAAAAATAAACAAATAAACCACTTTTAATATTTTATTATGATTCTATGGAAAAGGAGCACATAAACTACTTTTTTTATTGTGCTTTAATCAACCCTGTATGTGATATAATCGGTTTTTTAAAGCCTTATTCTTTTGAAAGCAATGTTAAAAGATCTGTAATAAACCATCCGAAATTGATTTTGTTAAAAAAAATATAATGCACTTGAATACAAACTTTAGACGGGGATATCTCAAAATCACTTTTAGCTCTATGTGTCCCTTTTCCAGCTACCGCCTCAATTGTAGGTTAACTAGGAGTAAAATGGTAGGAAACCCAACCGATTTGAACCATCGTATGTTGCCGAAAATTGAACAAATGCTACAATGTTTTTTATGCATACGCTATGAACTATATTGTGGAAAATATTTTGCTTTTGCTGAAAACAATTTGGAACTAGATGATTCCCAATGAGCACACGTACGTAAAACTAACGTCGAAAACTGGTTGATAAACAAATATATAAGAAATAGTTCAAATGTCACGGAAAATAACATTAATCGCAACCACAAATTGCATTTAAATTTAATGTGTATTTGTGGCGTTTTGTGTTACTACTAAGATAATATTAAAATCATACGTTACATTTTGCATAGTTTCTAACATGAAAACGAAGAAATATCGGTTGATTTTGAATAAAAAAATATATTTTAATTATACGTAATATTGTATCGGTTTTATTTTCCTGTTTTCCTAATGTTTAGTATATTACGTATATTCAAGTGATACAATAAACGTTTATATGCCTACAACCATGGTGGAAAAATACAGGTGAAACGGTTAGCGGTACGAAATTCGGTCAGTCTTGCGCATGACGTCACTTTCTAAGCAAATTTTTATTATGCCTATGTCTTAAATGTTAAAAAGCGACATTTTAAGTTATTTTTATCTTCCTGATAGTGCTTAGAACTTTATAGATATATTTATCTTAAATTTAATATTATTTCCGTACACCAAGAAGTCTTTTTAATAATTATTGATATGTATTATTCAATTAATTTCTAATTAAATTGATAGTGTAACTGATATAAAGTTAGATTAAGGCCCGGTACTTTGTGCTCTTGTTAAATTTCTGATTAACTAATCACGTTGTTAAACTAATCATAATCAAATTGACAGAAAAGTAGTGAATGGATAGGTACTTTATGAGTAAATTTAACAAAGATTAGTTAATCAATATTTGTTTTAAGTTTTCAGTAGTGCTACCACTGTCTCCTCTTCTTTTTATTTATTATTTTTCATTGCTCAAATTTAAGAAAAAATGATGAACATACGTTGTGGGATATTTGTAATGTATTAGGAAGAAAAAGTTTTACGCATTGTATCGAAGCTTAAATACACATGTCGTTTAAATCAAGTCTGCTTAAAAAATTGTTGTGGTATTGTTAAGATTTTTACTGCTTTAATTAACTGAATTAACGGTATTAAAATGAATTTGCATGACAAAGACGGTATTTTTTATGACTATGGTGAAATTATTGATTGTGTTGGTAATCAACGAACCTATATCGTTGATGAACGTGTAGACCACATGAATAAATGGAATGATGCAGAATTTTTCAGAAGGTTTCGATTTTCAAAAGAATTAGTTCGTCTTATTCTAAACGAAATAATTTAAATCCTTGATATTGACAGATTGATGTAAGTACATAATTTTTGAATTTTTTATGTTACAGTTATATAATGATTTTTACATTTTACTTTTTTATATGTACCATGAGGTAGATCCCCTTAAACAACTTCTATTGACCCTTAGATTCTACGTTACAGGAAGTTTTTATAATGTCCAAGGTAATTTTGCAGGGATACATAAAACAACAACAGGACAGATAATCCAGAAAGTTACCACAGCATTAGTAATTTTACGAGAACGTTATGTACATATGCCACAAACAGAAGAAGAAAAAACAGAAGGATATGCTCGATGGTCTCATCTTCTTGTTCGCACCCTCTGCAGATGCGGATTCTGAAACAACCATGAAATGGAGATGCTTCTGTACTTGGCAATAACCAGTCAGAATGCATGTGACTAGGCGCAGATTCTGTCTAGTCATAGTCAAGCAATCTTAACTTACTCAATCGAACACCGCCTATGTAAATAATGCATAGGGCACAGTTATAGATTGGCACAAAATAATATGATATAATGAATTGATGGTACTTATTTTTGATATTTAAAAGATGTGTCAGGTATAGGAACACTGTCAGCTATTGATGCCACTACATTATGTTTTTTTGGGTTGTAAAATTAAATGCACAATATTTTGTTAAATAGTTTTATTTGTACAATAACGTTTTAAACACAAACATGTGTTATTAACTAATAATGTAAAGTAAAACATTAAAAAAAGCAAAATTTCGTTTTTTAGGAATTTTCTGAAAATTAAAAAAAAAACAAAAAATTGAAAAACTGGCTCCAGATGAATTGTTTTAACCTTTTCCTACACATACATGTTTTTTCACTAAAAATAAAAAATTAAATGTCCTTATAAATTAAGTGTTTGGCTACAAGAACTATCCTAGAAGTAACATCCCCTTCATGTCTTGTGGTGGAAGAATTTAGTTTCAAATAATAATAATAATAATAATAATAATAATAATAATAATAATAATAATAATAATAATAATAATAATAATAATAATAATAATAATAATAATAATAATAATAATAATAATAATAATAATAATAATAATAATAATAATAATAATAATAATAATAATAATAATAATAATAATAATAATAATAATAATAATAATAATAATAATAATAATAATAATAATAATAATAATAATAATAATAATAATAATAATAATAATAATAATAATAATAATAATAATAATAATAATAATAATAATAATAATAATAATAATAATAATAATAATAATAATAATAATAATAATAATAATAATAATAATAATAATAATAATAATAATAATAATAATAATAATAATAATAATAATAATAATAATAATAATAATAATAATAATAATAATAATAATAATAATAATAATAATAATAATAATAATAATAATAATAATAATAATAATAATAATAATAATAATAATAATAATAATAATAATAATAATAATAATAATAATAATAATAATAATAATAATAATAATAATAATAATAATAATAATAATAATAATAATAATAATAATAATAATAATAATAATAATAATAATAATAATAATAATAATAATAATAATAATAATAATAATAATAATAATAATAATAATAATAATAATAATAATAATAATAATAATAATAATAATAATAATAATAATAATAATAATAATAATAATAATAATAATAATAATAATAATAATAATAATAATAATAATAATAATAATAATAATAATAATAATAATAATAATAATAATAATAATAATAATAATAATAATAATAATAATAATAATAATAATAATAATAATAATAATAATAATAATAATAATAATAATAATAATAATAATAATAATAATAATAATAATAATAATAATAATAATAATAATAATAATAATAATAATAATAATAATAATAATAATAATAATAATAATAATAATAATAATAATAATAATAATAATAATAATAATAATAATAATAATAATAATAATAATAATAATAATAATAATAATAATAATAATAATAATAATAATAATAATAATAATAATAATAATAATAATAATAATAATAATAATAATAATAATAATAATAATAATAATAATAATAATAATAATAATAATAATAATAATAATAATAATAATAATAATAATAATAATAATAATAATAATAATAATAATAATAATAATAATAATAATAATAATAATAATAATAATAATAATAATAATAATAATAATAATAATAATAATAATAATAATAATAATAATAATAATAATAATAATAATAATAATAATAATAATAATAATAATAATAATAATAATAATAATAATAATAATAATAATAATAATAATAATAATAATAATAATAATAATAATAATAATAATAATAATAATAATAATAATAATAATAATAATAATAATAATAATAATAATAATAATAATAATAATAATAATAATAATAATAATAATAATAATAATAATAATAATAATAATAATAATAATAATAATAATAATAATAATAATAATAATAATAATAATAATAATAATAATAATAATAATAATAATAATAATAATAATAATAATAATAATAATAATAATAATAATAATAATAATAATAATAATAATAATAATAATAATAATAATAATAATAATAATAATAATAATAATAATAATAATAAATACACTTAACACAAACTCAAATAATTAAAAATAACAGCGATATTGGCTCTTGTACAAAGATTTGAACCGAACTTACAAATGATAAAATTATTGAAAAAAGTGAACACCCATTTTAAATTACCACAGCCTCCACTAGAGACGATACATTTTGGGATATTTTACATAATTACTAGTTTCAAGATAATAATTTTTTGGATCATTGTTACGTATGCTAAATAACGATGTGTAAGAATTTTTTCTCGAAAATTTTGTTGTATAA